TCCAGCCTCCGCCGCTGCCTCTCCACGCTGGACCTGGCTGCCCTGGGAGTGGGCAGCACGCTGGGGGCTGGTGTCTACGTCCTGGCAGGGGAGGTGGCCAAGAGCAGCGCTGGCCCGAGCATCGTCCTGTCCTTCCTGCTTGCAGCCGTGGTGTCTGCCCTGGCAGGGCTGTGCTACGCCGAGCTGGGGGCCCGTGTGCCCCTGGCTGGCTCTGCCTATCTCTACAGCTACGTGGCACTGGGCGAGCTCTGGGCCTTCCTGGCTGGGTGGAACCTGCTGCTCTCCTATCTCATTGGTATAAGGGCTTCTTGATGCCTCCCACCACCGTGCTGGTGGCTTTGCTGGGTGTCCTTTGAGGCCTCGCAGGGCCAGCAGAACACAGCCATCCCCTCTCCCCAGGTACTGCCAGCGTTGCCCGGGCCTGGAGCGCTACCTTTGACCAGCTCCTTGGCAAGAAGATGGGGAGGTTTTTGGGTGCTCACGCAGCCATGGGCTCTGTGGGGCTGGCAGAGCACCCAGATGCCTTCGCTGCTGGCCTGGTGGTCTTGCTGGCAGGTAGGATGCCTCCCCCTGTGCCACCCCCCATCTGGTAGGATGAGCTCCTCATCCCACCGTGGGCTGTTCAGGATGGGGCTGACCCCTCTGATGGCTTTGCCATTTCCCTGAGCAAAGAATGGGAAATAGAAAGGGAATCTGGGGAAATCTGCAAGTTGTCCTGAATTTGCCCCCCCTTTTCCACCCTCCCCAGGAATGTCTACCCTGGTGTCATCCAGGGACCTCATCCAGTTTTGATTTTTTATTCTCCAGCGCTTCTTTCCTTTGGAGTGAAGGAGTCCACCATGGTCAACAAAGCTTTCACAGCCCTCAACGTGCTTGTCCTGCTCTTTGTCACAGTGAGTGGCTTCATCAAAGGCCACATAAGCAACTGGAAGCTCAGGGAGGATGACCTGCCACAAGCAGCTGCCCAGGACTCTGGGTATGAGGGGCTTCACTCTCCCCGTGCTGCCTTCAGAGTGGGGTGGGGAGTCAAACCCCCAGTGCTTTATCCCAGGAGACAGCACTTTCTCCATTTCTCCCTGTTGGTGGCAATGTGTCAAAGAGACAAAGTCCTGAGCCCTGCTGGGTTGATGCTGAGGGTTGAGCAGGTTGGATGGACTGTTCAGCTTGACCCATCCTGGGATCCCTTGCCCTGACCCCCCTGCACTGCCTGACTCTTCTTCCTCCTCCCAGGAACCAGTCCATGGCCAGCAACATGACCAGTGCCTTTGGGGTGGGAGGCTTCATGCCCTATGGCTTCTCTGGGACCTTGGCTGGAGCCTCTGCCTGTTTCTATGCCTTTGTTGGATTCGACTGCATTGCTACCACAGGTAAGGGGGGTGGGGGTGCTGCTGGTGGGACCCTCCCTGCAGGCTGGGGGGCTGTGGCAGTGACTGTCCCCACAGTCTTGGGAACTGGTGTAAGGCTGGGAAATGGCACATTCCCAGCTCTGTGCTGCAGCCACTCTCTCCTGCCCTTTCTGAGTCCACGTGGAATGTCTGGGCTTCCTGAAGCAGAGACATTCTCTATCCCAATATCCCTGGGGCCCAGAACATCTAGTGGTCCTTGCTAGAAGGTCTCTGTGTCCTCTCTTGGGGGGATATAGGATCTGCTCTCCAGCCTGAGCTGGGCTCTCAGCATGCCATGCATGTTAAATGAGCCTCTGTTCCTACAGCTGAGCTTGTCCTCCCCAGGGGAAGAAGTGAGGGACCCACAGAGATCCATCCCCATGGGCATCATTCTCTCCCTCCTCATCTGCTTCCTGGCCTACTTCGGGGTGTCTGCTGCCCTCACCCTGATGATGCCCTACTACCTCCTGGACACCACGAGCCCCCTGCCAGTGGCTTTTGAGTACATTGGCTGGAGCAGTGCAAAGCACGCCGTGGCTGCGGGGTCACTGTGTGCCCTGACCACCAGGTGAGGGGTGTCCTCTGATGGCATTTCTGTGCTTCACAGGAGGAGCTGAACACACCCAGGGGATATCCCCAGCCCCTCCCTCCTGAATTCCTCCTTGCCTTTCCTGCTTGTCCAAAATCCCTTCCACACAAACCCTGGTGTTCCCACCCTGGCCCTTCCTGACCAGGGGGAGCAGCCAAACCCGTTGGCATGCCACTGAAGGAAGTGGCCTGGTGGCACCATGTCCACAAGAGTGGGCTGGCATGCACAGGTGGCTACAGACATCTCCTTCCTGACACTGTGCCTCGTCTGGTGGTGAGGAAGGTGAGGGTCTTGAGAAGGTTATGGGCCATACAGATGAATGGGAGCTCCCTTGGAGGGGCAAAGGCAGGATGGCACCTCCTGCATTCCTCCCTCTTCTCCCCCATCTCCTTCCCTCTCTCATGCAGCCTCCTGGGCTCCATGTTCCCCATGCCAAGGATCCTGTATGCCATGGCTCGGGACGGGCTCCTCTTCCAGCCTCTGGCCAAAGTCAGTCGCCGTCAGTGCCCGGTGCTGGCAACTCTGGTGTCTGGGGCAGTGGCAGGTGGGTGAGTGTTTGGGTTACCCTGAACTGTGAGCAGGCCTTGGTGGGTGTCCTCTTTCCCTCTAGCTTGACTGCAGCTGTTTGAGCCATGTCTCTTCACCCAGAGACAGATCTCCTCACGGTGGCTGAGGACCATTTGGCCTTGATGGAGTCCCAGACTCTGCTTCAGCCTCTCTGCACTGCCAGGCAGGAGCTGATGGGGTGCTTTGTCCTAGTGCCCAAAGCATCACCAGTCCATCGAGGTTCTGTTGCAGTGGGTCAGGGGGACACGGGGAGCTCAGGAGAGTATGACTGAGGTGGGCACAGCAGCACTGCCAGCTCTGCTTGGAGGCTGAAAGGGCTTCTCTTCCCCACAGCTCTGCTGGCCCTTCTCTTCGACCTGAAAGCCCTGGTTGACACCATGTCCATTGGCACACTGCTGGCCTACTCGATGGTGGCTGGCTGTGTGCTGCTGCTCAGGTGACACTGCTGGGGACAGGGGACAGGGCTCACCCGGCTTCTGATGTGGGCCATGCCTGGGACAAGGCAGCTGCAGGTTTATGTGCATTGACAGCAGTGTGTGCTCCTCAGGTATCGGCCTGAGCCCAGCCCTGGGGACACGCCTGATGGGAAGGTCCTGGCTGTGCAGCCCTGGTGGAGCCAGCTGGTCCAGCCGCCCCCCCATCCCACCCCTCGCTCCTCTGCTGTGGTGGTCTGGGCTCTGACAGCTGCAGGTGTGTCTGGGAACCATGGATGGGCTCTAGGGGAGCTGGCCTGGGGGCACCCATGGGGGACATCCCTGCTCTAGCAAGGGCTGGCCTGGTGGAAACCACCAGCAGCAGATGCAGGGGCTGCTCAGCTCCTTCCTGCCCTCACCCCACTGCCACACAGCTGGCTGCCCCAACGGGACCTCAGGAGAGCTCCCACTCCCTCTGCTTCCCAGACTGGAGAGAAAAGCTAAACCCACCATGAGAAGCCGCCCAGTCATGTCCCCTGGCTGTCATTTGTCCCACCATGGCAGCCGAGGGAGGCTGCCCTGACACTGTGGTCCCTCTGCAGCCACCCTGGCCTGTGCCCTGAGCTGGGTGAGCACTGCTGGGCTGCCCTGCCTGCGGGCTGGGGCTGCCTGGTGCATCACAGCTCTGGCCCTGCCTCTCCTGGGGATCCTGGCAGCAGCTCTTCTCATCTGGAGGCAGCCTCAGAGCCAGCACAAAGCATCCTTCATGGTGAGCACCCAGCCCAACCCTCGGGGTGTGCCCGGGAAGAAGGACCTGGGGCACAGAGAGCAGGCAAGTGCTGCAGCCCTGTGGGGAAAGGGTGCCCTTTGGGGGTGTTCCCTCAGCTGTAGGTCAGGGCACAACTTTGCTGCAACCACATTGATGAGGTACTGCTGGAGGCAGCATGTAGCTCCTGGGGTTTTCTATAGGGACCATGAGGGTTCTTCCCCCCTCAAACTGAAGGCTGAAGGGCAGCTCCCAGCTGAGCCCAGTGCCTGCTGGGGAACCAGAACTGTTCTTCAGAAAAAGGTACCTGGCCTTAGCACCTTGGCTTACTTTTATGAGTTCTTTGCTGCCTCTCTCACCTCAAATCCTGCAGTACCTCCTGCCCCAGTGCAGGAGCTGTCAACTAAAACACCCTCCACAAGCATCCCTCTCCAGCACAGGCTGCAGTCCCAGCTTGGATCTCTGAGCCTCACAGCCAGGCTGCGCTTCCCCTTGCCTTTGGACAGCTAGCCAAAGCAGCAAAGAGCTGAATTTAGCAGTGGAATTTACCCTTGTGCTCCCTGCAGGTTCCCTGGCTGCCCTTCCTGCCTCTGCTCAGCATCTCCATCAACGCCGTGCTGCTGGCCCGGCTCAGCGCGGCCGCCTGGCTGCGGTTCCTGCTCTGGGTGGCTGCGGGTAAGCACGGCCACCCACGGGGCCCCAGAGCTGGCAGCAGCCCCTCTTGTGGAGTTCTGGTGGTTTGAGAGCCCGTGGCACTAATGTTGCTCTGAGCAGTGGTGGGGAGGGAGGAGATGCTGACCTGTGATGCCCAGCAGTGGTGGGAGCACCGTGCCCTCTGATACGTGGCCCAAAGGAAGGGGCCAGCACTTGGTGGATGGGAGGGGAAGGAAGAGAAGCAGTCCATACACACCCTATTCTGCCCTTTCCCAGGTTTCCTCATTTACTTTGGCTATGGGATCTGGCACAGCACTGAGAGCCACTGGCCTGAAGGGACGGGTCCCCAGGGGGGAAGCAGAGCCAGGGAGGTGGCCCTGGAGCCCCGTGGGACTGCCCTGTGCCCATCTGCTCCAGGGCAATAAAAGGGGATGGCTAGTTCCTGAGTGCCTGGCTCCCTCCATCCTGTGCCCAGGGGGCAAGGAAGCCCCTTGGGCTGTGGGTCCTGTCCCACAGAGAGGGCCAGCCCTGCCAGAGCTGCAGGAGCTGCTGCCCTGAGTCTGGTCAACCTTCCTGAGCAACCCAAATCCTCACAGCGAGCCCCTGCAGACAGAGTTCTCTTTGGAGAGGATAAAGCACACACGTGTTTTTGCTGCTCTTACTGGGCTGTGTTTTTGTTTTTTTTTTCCTTTGAAACCTTTCCCTGCAGCCTTCCACAGGCCCCTTGCCCTTGCCCACCCTGCTCCTTCAGCTGCTCACAATGAGTTGGAGAGGCTTCTCGTGCTGCCCTGACCCTCATTTTCAGCTGGGCTCCCAGCCTGAGCTGAGCTATCATCCCCCCCATGACTGCCGAGGTACTGCCTGGTCCAGGCTTTCCCCCCTGCATAGTCTGCAAGTCCTTTTCTGCACTCATTTATTCCTCCTCCTCAGTTCCCAGTGTCCCCTTTCCCAGAGTCAGGCACATTCTTCCAAGTCCCACGCAGGATCTGCCTTTGGGGCTCTGGGACATGGTACCAGATGTCCAGAGAAGGATCCCAGAACCCCCCAGCCTCATATCCCTTTGTCCAGAAATCCTGATCCCTTCAGCCATAACCAGGCAGGATTTGCTGGGCTCTCCCCTGCGTTGGTGCTGCAGCACCTGGGGAGGCACAATGATGTGTGGAGCAGAGGGTGCCCTGGTGGGACATGGTTCTGACACAACAGGCTCCCCATTTCCCCCTCTGGCCACCCCATGGAGGTTTGTGGGTCAGAGCTGGACCCCACATCCACGTTGCCTTCCTGGCTGCCCGTTCAGCTGCTGCATTTCTGATTAGGGTCAGCACAAAGGACGGAAGTGGCTGATGCAGTGGCCCTGATGCTGGGAGGGTCCGGGTCTGCCCTGAGCTGGGAGCCCATTGAAATGAAGGAAAAGAGGGAAGGAGCAGGAAACATCTGGTACCCCTTAAGGGCCTCATCTGGAGTTTCCTTGTGGAGTCTTTGTGGTGCCAGCTCCCACCCTTCCCCTTCTTCCCACTGTATGGGGTGTGGAGCTCACAGCCCCACTCTGGGACACTCCTCCACCAGTCCCCCAAACCACTGACATGGGATTCCTGAGGCTGCTGCTTCTTACAGATCTGTAATGGTTACAGCCAGCAGCACCTTGGCTGGTGCACACACACACCCACACACACACATGTGTGCAGCTCTGGCTAAACAGCCCTGGGGAGGGGACAGGGCTGTGACAGCCCCAGAGCAGTGACTCCCACCACACTTGTGCACCCAGGGAAAAGTGCTTGTGTGCATCCAGCCCTGACCCACAGCCATGCTGGCAGCATCTTCCAGATGGGGATGTCCTGCCTCGAGCAGAGGGATGTGACAACCAAAGCCTGGTACCCCCTGGGAGGATGCTCTGCTCCCTGATGTGCAGCTCCAGCCTCTATCCAGATTTTGGGGGAGAAGATGGGACTGGTGGTGTTGCTGATGGGCAGCAGGGACAAGCAGGGCTTGGGGTCTTCGTGACAGTGAGCTGGGACATGCCTGAGCTGCAGGAGCTGTGCCTGGGAGACATTTGCTGAAGGTGGAAGAGGTGATGGCAATAGGAGGGCATGGATGAGAGCCCTGCCTGGTGAGGTTAACACCATATCCCCAGTGCCCTCCTCATCCTCCTGGTGCTTGTCCTGGTGGCCTCCTCATCGTTCTCATGCCCTGGGGCAGCATTGGTGCTGTTTATATTCAGAGCCAAGTGCTGGATCAGATCCAGCCCGATGCAAGTCCGTGTGTCCTGGCTGACCCCTTTCACCCCCAGTCACCCCCTCACCAGGTGAGGTGCAGGCACTGCGTGGGTGGGAGGCCAGGGTCCCTCTGCAGCCCCACACGGGCTGGGGAAACGCAGGAGTAATGTCCCGTGACATGCTCCATCGCTGCGGTCCGTGAGCGCCCCGGGGCTCGGCCAGCCCGGAGCCCTGCCCGGGCTGGGGGCACGGTGAGAGCAGCGCTGGGCTCACCGGGCAGCGCTCGGTGCCGTCGGTGCTACGTGGCGATGAGGGGCACCTCGCCGGTAGCCACGGGGAAGGGCGTGCCGTCCCCGGCGTGCAGCACTCGGTACAGCAGCTCCTCCTTCTCGCGGCGAGCCCGATCCAGCAGCTGCGCCTCCTTCTCCAGCGCCCCGCGGGCGGCCTGGAGCTCCTCGGACAGCTGCCTGCGGGCAGAGGGCACGGGCTGCCGGAGCCGGGCAGAGCGCCCCGAGCCCCTCTGCTCCCCCCAAAGCTCCCGCAGTGCCAGCTGTCCCCCCCAGCGGAGATGTCACCTGCGCACCGCGGGGTGGGACTTACCTCGCCATGACCAAGTGGTTCTGGGTGCGAACTTGCAGGTCCTCGTTCTCCTGCTGGAGAGTTTTCACCTTCTCCTCCAGCAGAAGGTTCCTCTCTTCCTGGAAGGGGGCATGAGGGTGAGGAGAGAGCTGGGAAGCACTTCTGAGCCCCCTGCCACCTCATTTTGGGTGAAATGCTGGCCTGGTGGCATTGTTCCTGCATCCCCTCCCCACGCCAAGAGAGGTTTGAAATAGGCTCCATCCACCTTTGCTGCAGCTGCAGTTTCTGGGCAGAATTTAGGTGGGTAGAGGAGCTGAAAAGAGGAAAGCCCATGTGTGACCCCCACTTTCAACCCACCACAGTCTCCAGGTGCAGCAGCTTCTTGTCCAGGCCATGGATGTGCTCGTTCTTCATCTCGATGACGAAGTGCAGGCTCTCCAGCTCCTGCTCCCAGAAGGGGCTGGGGCTCCCGTGCTCCTGCAGGGCCATCACTTGTGTCCAAGGGACCTCAGCACCTCCCCAGGACAGGCTTTGCTCCCCCCTTCAGGTGCCCTGTGCTCCCTCTGGTTCCAGCCCCACCAGGGTCCATCAGAGGCCCCTTGGCTTTGGGTCAGCACCCCACAGCAGGTCCCCTCCCTGACACCCCTCCCTGCACCTGGATGTGCTTCTTGTAGTCTGTCCTCAAGAGTGACTCCTCCACCCGCTTCATCCTGTCCTGGAAGGATTTCAGCTGGGAATTCAGTGCCTGAATTTTCTCCTAGGAGAACCAGGGAAAAAGCAGAATGAGAGGTATCTGGCATTTCTTTCTGAGCCAGGGGACTGCTGCGCTGTGGTACCCAAATTGCACCACTGCTGGAGGAGCTGGTGCAGTCCCCAAGCACACCAGGGACTGAGGTGGCCACTGAAGAACGTGGGGCACCATGGCAGAACCAGCAGATGGTCCTCATGCCCCCCACAAGCCCCCCCTCCCCAGGGATTTCTCTTTTGGTACCTGTAAGGCTGCCTCAGACCTGTGGTGGGACTCTGTCAGCAGCAGCTTCTCCTGCTCATGTGCTCCCTGGAGCTCTGTGGGGAAACGCCAGCTGAGTGCCACCAGTGTGGGGACATTGGGGCAGCAGGCCCCAGCTGAGCCCCACAGACCTGGAGAGCAGGGACAGTGTCCCCATGACCCCACAGGCAGCCAAAGGGACATGGCAGTAGTGGGGAGAAGGGAGGGGAGCTGCAGGGAGCCCCACTGCCCTGGCACTCACCTTGCAGGGTTTCTGTGTGCTCTCTCCTCAGGGCATCAAGCTGTTCCTTCAGCTCCAGCTCTTTTCCCTTTGCCACGTGGGAAGCAGTTGGGTGAGAAATCTCAGTGTAAGGGATGCAGAGCTTCACTGCTTTGGGCTCCCTCACCCTTTATTAGACCCGTCCTTCTCCCAAAAATGGGAGAGCCCAGCACGTGCCAGGGAAGACCAGGCTGGTGGCATGCTCCATGCCCAGCTGCTGCCTCCAGCAGCACCAGCCCTTCCAGCTCACCTGGATCTCAGTGTCCTGGGAGATGCTGGCAGTGCCTGCCTGGCCGGCATCCCGCAGCCGCTGCTCCTCCTCCTCCTCCTGGCCTTGGAGGAATCTCGCACCGTCCGCCCACTCCTCTGGCCGTGCTGCCTTCTCCCCGTGCTCAGGAAGCAGGCAGGCATTGGCTGCAAGAAAACACGGCTGAAGCAGCGCCGGTGCCTCCCCCTGGCTGAGCTGCCTGCACATCCTGGGCAGCTGAACCTGCCAGTGCCATGGGCACTGCCCTCCTCCCACTGAGAAACACCTCCCTCCCTCTCACTGGTCCAAATTAGCATGAATTGAGATGGTGCTGGCAGGCTCAGAGAGGACACAGAGCTTGTCAGGTCTCCTGTTCTGGGAATGCCATTGTCTCTGGGGTGCCCTGTTTGCCCTCCTGCACCAGCATGCACCTACAGCATCCCCATCCTCCCGGGTGCCATGCTGGGGCCTGTCCAGTGCTGCCTTAATATCACTCTGAGAAAGCAAAGCAGGGGGAAAACACATTGTTTCTCACCATTCTGTGTCTTCAAGGCCGAGAGCTCCTGGGAAGCTGATCCTCTCTTCTGCTGGGCTTTTAGCTGTCTCTGGCAGAGAGAGAGGGGGGCACAGAGTGGGGCAGGGGCTGCAGGCAGAGAACACCCTGCACTGAGCCTGCATCAGCTCTGCTAAAACACAGCTCCTCGAGGAGCAGCAGCCCCCTGCCCTCTCCCAGCACTGGGCACCCAAGGGTGTGCATGTACTGCCCACCAGGCAGCCTCAAGCTCATGCCAATTCCCTGCATCCCAGACAGTTCACCATGTGGCATTCAGCTGGAAAACCTGGGGGATGCCACCCCCACCAACATGGTGCTGGTGCAAAACGGGGTCCAACAGCAAAACTTTTGGTGGGGGAGAGCAGGCAGCACTTGGCAGGGCTCCAGCTTTGGCACTCCCTTGCCACCCTCCTCCTGTCCTGGGATGCTCAGCTGAGTCTGGTCCCTGGCACCTTGCAGCCCCTCAAACACGCGCCTCTGCCAGGGCCTTACACAGATGGGCTTTGACACAGCTGGAGCAGGAGTGAGAAATGAAAAATAGCCATAAATCAGAGGCGATACAGCCCCTGTGCAGGGCTGGCAGCAGGCGAGAGCAGGCGGCCAAGCAATGACCTCAGGAGCGCAGGAATGTGCTGCACAGCCCCGCGCTCCCGCACGCTCCCGCTGCTGCCACGGGGCTGAGATAACCCAGAGCCAGGAGCTGCCTCCAGCAACACAGCTCCGTGGGATGCCTTCCAGCCCTGCATGGGTTTAATTTAGTCACTTGGAGGGGAGAAGAGGAAAAAAAAAACATAAGGAGTGGATATATTTTTATCAGTTGCTGAAAGATAGAAGCAAAGCTCGCAGGCTCTCACGGCTCGGCCTCGCCGGCACAGGGCAAATCTGGTCCCTGGTGCCCATCACTGAGATGAGCTTGTGGATATTGCACAGGTGCACGAGGGGTGAGGAAATTCACCTGAAGACACGGTGCTGCTCTCCAGCCCCGGCAGAGCTGTCCCTAACAATCCCGATCCCCCAGGATCGCAGCCCGGCTGCCTGCGGGACCCGCTGTGCCGGCTGCTCCCCGGCCCGGCCCCGCGCACTGCGGCCAAATACAGCCCGGATTAGGGAGCCTGGCTTGGGAAAAAGCAAGGCAAAGCAAACAGACGTGCCTGTCTCCGCCTCCCCTGCAGCCCCCCTTCTGGAGCTGGAGGGAGGCGCAATTCCAGAGAGCAGGAGAGCTCCAAGCCTCTGGGAAGGCACGGCTTTATCTTCCCTTCTATGGCATGAGCAGCCGCGGCGTTGAACGTGGCCCAGGCGAGGGGGCGAGGAGGCACCCGGCAGTCCGAGTTCAGAGCTTGTTCTCCTTGTCCATGCAGCTCACCCCGAAATCGTGGGGTGCCCTGGGATGCTGCTGGATCCTGACACACCTGACTGCAAAGTGTCCCCAGGAATCCCTGCCTGTCCCCTGACACACCTCGTGCCAGTGTGCATCTCCCTGGCATTTAACGTACCCGTGTCCTGTGATGGGTTTTGAAGTCGGGGGATGGGGGGCAAGGGGAGAGATTAACGAGACAGTCGAGGCTCTGCAGTCCCGAGGGCATCCTAGGAGTCCCAAAAGGCCTCCTCCCCTAGCCCCACAGCCCATATCCCCCCTTTTTTCACTGCAACAAAGCAAAGGCTGTGTAGGAGGACCCGTCTGACACAGGGGGGTGACACACACCTCCAGGGTTTTGGATGATCTCAGCAGAGCTGAGAGCAGGATGCTGTAACCACCCCCCAGAAGGGACCCTAAACCCCCAAACCAAACCAAACCAAACCAAACCAAACCAAACCAAACCAAACCAAACCAAACCACCTCTGCTGCACTTGTCCTGCTCACTGGCATAAGTGATGCCTAAGGACAGAGAGCCCAGGGCTCTCCTCATTCACCTCCACAGCACAGGCAATGTCCCCAGCACAGACCCAGAGAATCTTCACCTCTCCCCCACACCCCAAATCCAGCAGGATGGGACCTCAGAGCCCCTCAGCTTCTAAAGGAAGATGATTTGAGACAGCAGCACTGAACTCAGAAATAGGTGAAGGGAGCAACAGGTTCACCAGCAGACAAATCGAAACACCTTCCCTGAGGCTATGAGTGAGGCACCTTCCCACCTCTAGGAGCAATTAAAATAGCGTCTAGAGCTAATTTTAGTCATAAGCACTCAATTGTCCTTTGGAATAAAAGCTCCACCTCTGGGGTGTACAGTAAAAATTGGCTGAAAGCTCTGAAATATGGAGGGACTTTCCATGTCACTTCCAGAGAAGCTTTGTGGCACCTCTGGTATCACCCGGCGCATTTTGGAGAGCTGGAAAATCGTCCTGGAATCCACAGTGTGTGCAAGGAGCAGGTTGGGAATTGCTCCAGCTGGAACAGCTTTGGCCAGGGGAAGAAGCAGCCTGATACATCCTGCAGGTGGGGGCCATCCACAGCGTAGCTTATCCTGTACGGTCTTGGAAACCTCTGCCAAAAATACCTTCCAGCTATGAAAAACCAAAAGTATCTACATTCTTAGAACTAAATATTTTAATAGTCTGGAGCAGAACTGTTTGTGGATGGATTAATAGGGATTTCCAACAGGACCTGAGTCATCTCCAAGGGTTCTGGGGTGGGGAGCACCAGTGCAGAGCAGCTGGCACAGTGTGGGCAGCCGAGGTGGCTGCAGCTTCTGCTTCAGCTCTTAGCGTGAGGTGGGGTTTTGGACTGTATTTTTCTTCCTCTTTTCCTGTTTTACAAGTACATTAAGCAATTCAACCATGCAACCTAGCAAAGGAAATCACAAAGAGGCAGGAAATGAGTATTTAAATCCTGACTCTGCTCCTGGGGAGGAGGTTTTGCTTTGTGGCTGTGGAGAAGGGGGCCAGGATTTGGTCCATGACTGTAACACCTCCCAGGACTTGCCGCAGATGCTCAGTGCTGCCAGAGCAATGCTGGCACAGGTCCGTGGGACCTGCCTTTAACCCTGCTGCTGTGTTTCCTCCAGTGATGGTGATGGTTGTCTTAGGAGGTGATTATCACCTCTCCTACAGTCAGATCCGTGCCGCAGACCGTAGGCAAACACTTCACACTGTTGACAGCCCCGAGTTTTGCATTCTGACCCTTCCCTGACTCCTGGTGCTACGTACAGTTCCTAGCACTTCAAAATAAATTCACCCCAGCCCTGGAAGGCGGCCAAGCCTCAGCCCTGACTTTTGGGAAGGCAACTTGGCCTCTCTCACGCCAGGAGCGTGACCAAAGCGTGAGCGGTGACCATGAGTGGCCAAGCACGGGTGGATGGAGCTGAAGGGGAAGGAAACCCCAGGGGCAGTGCCCACAGCTCGGGCTTGGATCTCTCTGTGCCTCCCTTATCGCCCTGCCGCCCGCAGACTGGTGCCAGGGAAGGATGAGGCTGCCAAGGCACCTCCCCCAGGGCACACAGTGGCTCCTGGCATGTCATCCACCCACCAGACCTAGCCCAGCACCAGCTCCTCAAGGTCACCTCAAACCTGGGACTGGCTTCAAAAGCCTCTGCAGCCCCCAGCCCCATTAGAGTCCCCAGCCCCATGACCTGCACATGGCTTCTGGCTTGGCTTGTCCCTGGGGTTTGAAGTCTCCCCTAAGCCCCACAACCTCAAGGGACCAATTCTGCAAGTCCACCCATCAGCAGTGTGAGGTGAAGTTCTCCCATCCTGCCTTTTGGCACTCTGGACATGAGAACACGGGCAGGACTGGCCCCATGCCTGCCCTTATGCCTTTTAGCCATAACGGGGATTTTAGGTGCTCCTTTCAGAATGACTTTCAGCCACAGCAGCAGGGCTGTTTATGGGTAATGACTGTTGGTGACACAGGGCTGAGCAGAGGAGCTCGAGAGCAGGCAAGTGCAGGAAGGGAGATGTCTCTAGGCAAATGACAAATTTCCGTGTTTCGGTAAATGTGGGGCTCTCAGCACCTGCGGCCTTGGGGCTGTTGTTTCTCCCTCTCTTATGCCTGTTCTTGAGAGCTCTCAGAGTCACAAAGCAGCTCAGAAATATCTGATCTTATGACATAGCAAAGAGTGGGATTTTTTCCATGATGTGGAGAAGCGACCGAGCCTGCAAGTGCTGTAAATAAAGGCACTCGTTGGCTGCAGGGCTGTGTGAGCCCCATGCCTGCTCCCCCTGCACATCCTGTGGTGGGTTCTGTGGTCCCAGGTGGGGACTCTCACAGCTGGATCTGCAAAGGGCCACCTGTGCCAGGGGCACAGCAGCACCACAAGGTGTTTCTGCCTTCCCTCCTTCCCCTGCCACCCTCCAGCGATCACAACACCCAACAGCAGTAAGCACAGCACATCCGACAGCAAAAACATCTCCCGAGGTCAGTGGTGAGGCCCTGGGGCACGAGCACATCAAGTAATAACAACAATAATGATAATAACAATCAGCAGATAATTTCAGACCTCGCTGAAGAGCTCTTCAGTACAGAGAAACGTGCTGAGATCTGAGGGGACTCAGAGTGATCCCCGACAGGAGCGATGCCTTCAGCACAAGGGGACACAGCCTTTGGGACAAGGGAGGATGCTGTGGGAAGCTGGCAGAGTCTAGCTGGGAGAACCCATCCCTGTCATCTGTGGGACCAGCATTTCCAACAGGCATCATCATCCCAGATGCTGCACCCCCTCAACTACAGAATTCCTGTGACGAGCCTGGAGGGGTGCAGGAGGGTGCAGGAGGGCGGGTGGCTGCCAGTTTCATTGTCCCCGCTGCCACCTCCCCCACCACAATGCCGGTGGGGTCCCACGCAGCCGGGGACAGCCACACCAGCCGGCACCGCCGCTCCCGGGACAGGGAGGAACCCACGCCGGGTGCCCCCAACACCCCTCGTCCCCAGCCGTGCAAGCAGGACTCCCCTCAAGCATCAGCCCCACGCGAGCCCCAACTCCATGGAACCCCGGCAACGTGCGCACTCGCTCCCACGAGAGCCCGACCCCGCGGAGCCCCGACCCCGCGCGAACCCCGACTCCGAGCGAAGCCCAGCCCAGCCCCAAAGCCCCCGCAGCCGCTACCTCGGCACCGGCGGGGCAGCAGCGCAGGGCGCTGCCGGTGCAGCCCATGGAGCCCCGGCGGGACCGGCTCAGCCGCGGGGCGCGGGGCGCGGCATCCCGCGGCGAGCGGCACCGCTCGGGGACGGCACGGGACGGGATGAGCCGCCCCAGCTGGCAGGCAGAAAAAAAAATAATTAAAAAAAAAAGTAATAAAACCGTCCGGCAGCTGCTGACAGGCAGCGCCGGGAGAGGGTGCTCTGCACCCCCGAGCCGCGGGCAGGGCCCCCGGCCGCAGCCTGCCCGCCCCCGGGGCTGGCCCTGGGCCCCTCCACCCCGGGGTGTCCCCGCCCTGGGCCGGGGTGCTTCGGGAATGCTCTGTCCCACGGGCCCCCTGCACTGAGGATGCTCTGAGTGCGGGGTAGGGAGAGCAGGACCCCTGCATTGGAGGTGTCCTCTCCTGGGCGAGGAGAAACAGGAACAGGAGCCGTGCACCAGGGCTAGGGTGGGAGCAGGACCAGCTGCTCAGGGGGCTTCCTCTGCTGAACCCACCCCAATCCCCTGAGGAGCAGGGATGAGAGTGAGAAAGCAGAATCCATCTGGCTTTTGCCATTACCCCATCAAGTTTCAGCTTATGTGGGGGTACTTGTGGAGAAGTGGTGGGTTTGGGGTGTTACTCCTGGCAGGAGCTCTGCTCTGGGGGTCGCTGTGCTGGCTGGAGAGGGCTTTTGATGTGTTCCATACTGCCTGAAGGACTGCATCCTGTCAGCCCTTCCCCCGAGCATCCCAAACACCCCAAATGCTGGGCCTGGAGCCAGGGTGCCCTTTTCCAGGAGGAAATCCTGCACTTTGGAAGTGGGTCCTGAACACATAGGGAAACACGGATTTGAAAGTGTCCCATCTAAAAAATAAAGTGAGGAAAGGCAGGTTCTTCAAATGTTTTCATTTTGATGATGGTTTAAAATGCCTTTTTAAAATTATATTTTTATACATTCCTGAATGACCACACATTTTGACCTGAAAACACATTAGTGCTACCCCAAACTGCTGAAATAGGAGTGTTTGAACCTGGTCACGAGGCCGTGCCTGTATGGAAACATTGCAAGTTTTTTGTCAACAAGTTTCTATTCTGACATTTTCCAAATATCCCCTGGGAGAAGTCCAAGCAGCCTGCGGCTCTGGGGATGCCAACACCTTGGCATTTCGCCTGGGCGGCGAGGGAGTGGAGGTGCCTGGTCGTCCTGTCACGTTCGACTTGGAGGTGTTTTTCTTGCCGTGGTAACCCTGGCACGGGGGAAATTGTGAAACACCGCTTGGATGGGAGGGTGGGGAAGGCGAGGGGCAGGCCCATGCTGCCCCAAGTCTCCCGGGGACTGGCGGGACCAGTTGCCTGCGTCCTCTTGGGTGGGTGCTGCTTAACCTGAGTGAAATTTTGTGAGTCACAGAAGCTTCTGGCATCTGCTCCCACTGCTCAGAAACCACCGAGAGCGTCTCAGTTCTTATCTCTCCCAGCACTTCAGAGTGGGGCAAGTCTCCTTCCCTGCATGAGAGTACTTATTTGGGCTGAGTAGATCGTTTGTGGGATAAAAACGCAAGGTGCCGGTCTCCACCTCACCAGGGTTAATTGAAAATCCCGGTCCAGACTTCAGAGACTGAAGGCCTACAGGGGCAAGCACAAAGCACACACAGATTTCCAGGCTGAATTTGCATGGCTGGGGCCCTGGCTGCAAAGAGAAGCAACTGTGTGGGCAGCTGATGAGGAGTCTGTCCAGCTGCCATCGTGTCTTGCTGGTGCACAAAGGTCCAGTAGTTCGCACATGTGCTTGTGGAAATTTCAGCTTTTAACTGTGAGGTGCTGAGGGGGTGCTTGGGGACACCCTGGCGCCACAAAGTGGGGCTCCAGGTAGGATTTCTCTTGACAATGATGGAGAAAACACAGTTTGGTCACATCAGGCTAAGGCATCGAGCCAGCAGGGCAGAGCTGGGGCTTGGGATGGGCCTGTGCAGCAAGGCCAGCTCCAGCACCCCATCCCCTGCTGCAGGCTCTGTGTGACAACCTGTGCTTCTAGAGATCGCTGCCTTTTGGAGACACGGCTGCCCAGACCATGCTACATCCTTCCTTCAGCCTGTGGGTGCATCTGTGAGGCTGCCTGCCCTGTCTGTGCTACCCCAAACCTCTCTTATTCTAGCTTGATTTTAGCAATTCCTCAGTTTCTCCAATCTTTCCAGTGGAAACTGCATGGGATGTGTGCCTGCCAGACGGGTCTTTCATCTCAGCTCTGCCCCAATACACTGAAAACTGGCTCCCTTTTCAGGGCAGCACTTAAACAGCCATAAACTGCTCTGTTCAGCTGCTTTTGAGCAAAGCAGGGCCTTTCCATGGCATTGTAGGGGTAACCAGAGCACCCGGGGATCTGGGGAGCACAAGGGCCTGGAGGCTGTGTGAGGCAGCCTGGAGAAAAGGGGGACTGTGGGAGCGAGGGGATGTCTGCCCAGGCAAGGACAGGAAAGCAGAGGTGGTGTGGTGTCCCCACCTGAGGCAGCTTCAGCTCCTTTTGAAGTTTTCTCTAATGTCTTTTCTTGGTGTAATCTTGATCTCTCCCCAGGAATGACAGCAGCTGGAGACATCTCCAGGGTTTTGTCTAGAAAAGTGAGACAAGGAGGCTTTATCACATGCTCGGCTGAATTGCCGTAAATGGGATAACAGCTGGAAAGTCAAGTCAATTTGTACCAATGGTCATTTAAAGTGTTTGCCAAAGCTTATGGATAAGAAAAGCATTTGTGCAAACTGTTTAAGTGTCTCTTGTGGTTCTGTCTCTGGTTCTAGCTGGTAAGGACTGGGCACAACAGGATGGGTACAAGGCAGTGTCAGTGCCAGCCCGGCATGGTTTGTTTGCAGAGTGGTTCTGTGAGTGCAGATGGGGTAATTCCTTTTTTTTTTTCTTGTTTGTATATTTTATTTTCAGAAACCTAGTCTGGAAAAAAGGAAAAAAAAAGAAAGGTGGAGGATGTTATGCTGGATGTTTTTGGGTGATGAGCTGGCATGTGGTGATGCCTGATGGGTCCTGGTAGAGCTGCAGCCTAAGCAGTGGACAGAGAGTGGTCATGGTTACACCCTGCTCATCACTTGCAATCTGTTTGCTTTTGTAAATGAGAGGCAATGGAGTGCTGGCTGCTTTTCTTCAATGCAAATCCGAGGTGTTTAGCCAGGTCTGCTGAGACCTCGTGACTTGCATTCAGTTTTGCATGGGTGAGATAGATGAAAAAACTGTTTGAATTAGAGAAGTTCTCATACGTGTTGGAGCCCAAAAAAAGTCACAGGCTCTTTTAGTGGGGATTTAGGTCACACATGATTCTGCCTTGAGGTAGTGCAGCAATTTCAAGTCATTCCTGTACCTGCCTGTGCTTTTCCAAGCAAAAAGATGTGGGTTAACCTGTTCTCGCAGTCTTTTATCCTCTTCCCCCATGGCAAAATGAAGTGGAAAAGGACGTGAATAGGGAAGTGAAACCTTCACTCACAATGGCTGTGAGAAGTAGAAAAGCATGCAATGCCAGGGGCTCGAGGTGAGGGGCTCTGCTCCCCTGCCAGCCCCAAACACAATGCTCCTTCTGTGCCTCTCCCCATGCATCCCTATCCTTATCCCTGTCCTCCGGCTGCTCCAGGGCCTCAAAGTGAAAGCTAATCCCAGGGGATAACTTTCCGCTCCGTTCCCGGCTGGGAGGAACGGGCTATTTATTCCTCACCCCTAAGCCTCGGCGGCGCAGTTGTCGCTGTGGGCTCGGGGTGGGAGCAGCACCCACTGCATCCCCTGCCTGCTCCCACGCCCTGCCTGCACGCTGCCGCCCGGCCTCGCTGCTAAATAAGGACGAAAGGCTAAAAATAGAGCTGAGATGGGGGTTTGGACAAGCCAGGCAACCCTTCCCAGGGCTGGGAGCAATATGGGGAGGCCAAGCAGTGTCCGTGTGCAAGGGACAGCAGAGCTGACTGCGGGGAAGGGTCTCACAAGTGGTTCCTGACCGTGCTGTGGCAGGGGGAAGGTGTGAGACCTGCCACACTTGTGTCCTGTCTGCTCAGCTGGTTCAGTCCCCTCCGCAGGATAAAAGCATCTGTCCACCAAAATATGTGGGAAAATCCATGCTACTGTGCCACTCCTGATGGAGGGGTACCCGTGTGACCATTCCAGGATGATGGGGGTGCCTGGGGCAGCTCTGTCTGGAAAATGATCCGCAAACAGGGGGTAGGAATGGAAGAAGGGATGATAAATCCAGCATTTTACACAGAGGGGTGGTAGGGGCACTGTGGCAAACTGCCCATCAGGGGCTACCCGATGCCAGCGTCCCCTCCCCCCCTGCTCATACATCGGGTTGGAGGGTCTCAAATATCTGAAATATCTCAAATATCTCTGCTCTTCAGCTGCCACCTGCCCTGTCCCGGGCGCGGGGGGAGCGTGAGGGTCCCGGGTGCTGACCGAGGGTACCGACCCTCGCACAGCCAGGGCACCCCCGAGTGGGATGTGAGGAGAGCCGCAGCCCTGGGTGGAGGGGTGGGTGCTGGGGCGATGGTCGTGCTTCCCCCATCGCAGTGGGGTGATGTGTGTGCCCCGGGGTGGTGGGTGCAGCTCCCGCCCCCTCGCTCCAAGTGCCGGCTCTGGGAGCTTGGGAAAGCGGCGCTTCCCGTCCCAGCATCCCTGCGAGTCCAGTCCTGCGCTTGGCAGCGAAACCAGGGAAGGGAGGGGAAAAAAAAAAAAGAAAGAAAAAGGGGAAGGCAAAATGTGAGCGTCCTCGGGGGAGGGAGGGGAATCGGGCGGTGGGCCGGGCTCCGACAGAGGGCTCATCCCCTCTGCTCGGGGCTTCATAGACCGGCCGCTGCCAGCCCGGTGCCATCGAGGTCCCTGCCCTCCGCTCGCCTCCCCACCGCTCGGAGCAGCTCCCCGGCCCTTCCCGGACCGTTCCCGGCGCATTCCCGGAGGATGCTGTGCGCGGGGCTGGCGCTGGCGCTGTGCGCGCTGCAGCTCGTCCCGGCCGCGCTCGCCGGGCCGCAGCCGCAGCTGCTGGTGGAGCGCAGCGGGGCCCGGCGGCTCGGCAAGGTGAGCAGGGACCCGCACCCGCACCCCGCGGGCACGGAGGGGGCTGCGGGGGGACTCGGCGGGGCGGAGAGGGGCAAGACTCCGTCATCCCGCTGGGATTGCAGGAGACCAGGAGCTTTTCCTATCCCGTCAGGGTGGAAGATCGCTGGTGGGTGCGTTGGGCAGGGGAGTGGGGTCCATGGACCCCCTGGAGC